TCAACGCAGACAGACTTCAAGACATAGCTGAAAAGAGCTTGAATTATTTAACATATTAAGACTTATCATACGTTCTTTGATCATGTCTAGCTGTAACATCCAGCAAAACTTGGATCTGCTGTTATCATAACTTCGATAATAATATATACTCAATCTACAATCTGTCAGTTTATGACCCCTGACCCCGCGAGTGCCAAGCTTTCAATCAATCTCGAAACCGAACCAAAACCTTTAGCCAAGCCCCCAAGCTCACAATTCTTCAATAATTCTATGAAACTCGAGATGGCGAATGGACGCTAAGAAGCAGCTGAATCAAGAAAAATTTGCCTCTGCTAGGGGATTGTCAAAGGACAACTGAGAATCTTGGCATAGGTTATGTGAAAAATGCCGAGGACATTAAAGCAGCTGCTTCTGGCGAGCGCTGAGGCATGATATATGAACGGGTTGTGCAGTAACTGGCGTCAGCTGCTCATCCTGTTGTCCTGTCGTCCTGTTGTCCCGTTGTCCTGCCGCCCGGCAGCTAGCAACGGCGTCAACAGCTTCTTCTCGTCATCTTGCAGCGGTCAGACTTTGGCCTGACTGACGGTCCGGGCACTGTTAATGGCTTCGGTCCATTATCTCGTCATGTTTGTTACGAAATTTAATTACTCTTATTTATTTTTCAGTTGCCTCGGCCACGTCTCGTCCGCCTGCAGCTGGAGCTGGAGCTGGAGCAGCCCGGCGTCTGCTGTGTTGTGTGTTTTATGATTTTCAACTTCATTCAAAAAATTGTGAACGCAAAAAATTAAATGTGAAAAAAATTAAATTAAAAACACTTTGTGCTGGTTGCTGCTGCTGCTGCTGCTTCGTCGTGTCTCATGTTCGCCTGTCCGCCTAATGTTTCGTCAAAAGGACAAATCAGCGCCAGGACAACACGGCACACTTGACCTCCCCGTTCGGCGTTCAGCTTTTCTAGGGAAGTGCGGTAATGAGTGTCCTTTATTTGTTTTTTACCCTAGATAAAACAGAAAAATGAAAGAAAAAAAACGAACAATTTGCGCTTGCGATTAATTTTTTAATGTTTTTACTTCGCTTTTTCAGTTCGTGGAAAGCTTTACAATACTTTGTTGGCAATAATTAAAGTTAACAGACATATTAATGTCAGTCTCGATTTATAAATGATATCAAGCCCGAGACGAAGAAGAATATTTAGGAAAACATAAAAGTGGTTTCATATTTCAAAATATTTTTATGTATTTGAAGTCTAAATCTAGAAGATTTGGCCTTTTGGTCTATCTCAGAAAATAATCTTTTAACTTAAATTAAAGATATTAATAAACCTAATTCAATTGAAAATTTGTTGCCATATGCTTACCTTACCAAACTTTCCTTGAACTAATGCCCTGCTCATATTTTAAAATTATTCTGATCTACTGATCTCAGAAATGTCGCTCTTCGAGAGAATTAAAATTTGATTTAAAAAATAATTTTTATGAGCTCAACGATTTCTTTTATTATAGTTAAAGCCGACCTACATTTTTAAAACAGTTTAAAGGCCTCTCTCATTCATTACATTACCAAATTAATATAGAATTTTAAATATATTGCCATGAATCTTTGAAGTTAATCGACTTCTAGTGTGTTTAGCCCTGAGAGTCTGCCTTGCCTGGCCGACTTTGTTCTGCTTTGGAGGCAGTTCCACAAACGCCAGTTGGTTCTCACTCTGATGCTCTCAATATGCATCTAAGTGCAGGCAGCGCTCTCTTTCTCTCTACTGATTTCTCCTTCTCACTCTCTTTCTTGGCTATGCTCTGGGCTTGTCAGTCCTTTGGTATTACCAACAAAACGTTCGTCATTTGCTTTTGTCTTTCGGTTTGTTTGCACACGCCGTTTCTTGCAGCAATCCTTTGCACTTGCCAGTTGCCACGCCCCCGCCCTATGGCCCCTGGTCCCCACCGTCCGCCTCGACTCAACTCAGCTCTGCTCGGCCCCTGCAGCTGTCAGTCAATGTGTCGTGTCACAGTGTCTCTCCATCTGTCTGTCAGTTGCATGTCTCTGTCTATCTACGTGACATCAGCCCAGCGAGTTTTGCTCCTTGCGCAACGGCTTGCAAGCTCAAGCTCGAAGGATGTCGCCTGGCCAAGGCGAAGGATGCTGCCAGAAGATGCTGCTGCTGCTGCAACCGATGGATGGATTTTTGGATTCGCAACTTGCACTTGGATTACAAGTCTGATTTTGATGCGTACATGCTGTACTCGGTATGTATGCGTGTGTGTGTGTGTGTGTGTGGGGGGGGGGAGTGAGGGGTGTGTGTGTTTGTGTGTGGTTGGGTGGTTGAGCGTGTGGCCCACAAAATATTGCACTGGCTCAGCGAGCTTACTCAAACTACTAAATGGGTCAATATCCACGTTCACAGCCACAGCCACACACGCACACCCACACCCACACACATATCCATCCAGTCCCACCCACATACACATACATTGCACAAGTTTTCTTATGCTTTTGTCTTTTGTCCTTTTATTATTTTATTCCTGGCCTTGTTTTAATTCACAGCGTCGTCTGCTGGCGCGTCATCCTCTGGCATTCTTGGTAGACTTTGTTGTCCTTTGGCAACGTCTCCAGCAACATTGTCTCAGTCGCATCCTTGGCTAGAATGTTTACACACAGCTGTAGATACACACACACATGTGTGTGTGTGTGTGTTTGTGTGAGTTGTAAGTGACATTTGCAATTTTCAAACTATTGAATGAGTGACAAGTTCTGCAGACACGATTGAAACTGACAGCTACGTACTGCCATGCACTCTCCTATTCCTTCAGCTTGAGCTTCAGCTTCGGCTTCTGCTTTAGCTTTAGCTATAGCTGAGGGGCAGTCCTAAGTCCTTGCTGCACTTTATTTCGTCTACTTGTACTTGTACGCCTCGCCTGACCCCCCGCAGTGCTCGACTCGACTTGCACTATCAGACTTTTAAATACTCATATATCTTTAATAATTCGATCGAGTCTAATTGACTTTCACGCATGCAGACGCCTTTATTATTTATTTGACTTTATGAAACTTCAGAAACTCTGCTACGAATGAGTGTGAGATCTGTTAGCTTAGAATGCTCTGTACGAGAATGCTTGACTATCAGATACCCTCTCTGGTTAATTTAAACGTGTTCGATATCAATAAAATATTTACAAATATTTTTATCTGAGATTTACCTTCTATTTCACATATAATATGATATATATATATATAATATTTGTTATATATAAAATTAACATGGGTCATTTTATATTATTTATATTGTGTGCTGAGTATATAACAAAGATTTTGTATGGAAAGCTGTTCTGCTATGCAAGCTACAAAATTCCTAAATATATTTGATTATATTCAATTATTCCCATTAAATCACTTCTAATATTAACACCACAATTTTGTCGTTAAACATGTGCATGTATTTGCTTAAGCGTCTTTTAAGTGTGTATTTGCTTATGCATATTGGATCGTTAAGTTGGCAATTAAATGCGGCCGGCTTAGTCTGCAGCTAAGTCTTTTGTAAGTTAAGTTAAATCGCATAAAGGTGTCTAACAGAGCAGATTGCGCTTACATTTTATGCACGGCAACAAATATAAAGAGATCAGTAAATTGGGCCGGCATAATGGAAGCTGCAGTGCAGCAATTACTCAGGCTAATGCGTCATTTGCATAATATCAATGCGAATATAACAATGAATGCCATATTAAATAAAGGCTAAAACGCACTGACTTGTCGCATGTCTAGTTGATGACATGACTGACAGACTGACAGACAAACTGACTGACTGACTGACTACATGACTCATTGCCCATTAACAATTTAATTTGTATTGTCGCAATTGTAGCTGGCTGGAGGGTTACGGGGGGCTTTGCCTGGCTGTACGTGAATGTCAACATCAATGTCACATCCATTGAGGCCCACCAGCTAGACGGACATTTTGACAAATAATTGAAACCGCAATTTATAATGAATTCAACGCATGGCCCACAGTTAGAGAGCCAGACTGAGCTCCAACTCCAGCTCCAGCTGCAGCTGCAGCGTCACCTGCGCCATGTGGAGTCTGTGATGAACACACAGACACACACACACACACACACACATACATATATTTGCAGGCATGTCCATTTGATCCGGGGTCTGTGTCGCCCTGTCACTTGCCAAGAGATTTATGCTGTATAAATTCAATACTGATAATCGCCAAGATGAGCCAGGCTTATTTTTGGCGCTCTTAAGTGCTGGGAGGTGCGTCCATGTCGGCGACGTCGATGACTCCGTCACTCACGCATCATCCTCGCCAGAGTCGTAAACTGATGATTTTATTGGCCAGCTGAATTCGCTCTTAAATGTCGATCGTAAACTTGAATTGAAGCCTCGCAAAGCAAGTGGGCTTGATCAAGTCGGCATTAGCAGACTATCAAATGCGCTGCCTTATTGATTATTAATGACTATGGCATATGATTTAAATACTATTTTATTAATATATGTTTATTAAATTTAACATTTTCTCTCGCTTCCTTCATGAAAGATATCTAGAAAATTGAAAACAATTCCTTTGCCTAAAGCGTATCGCAAAACAGTTTGTCTACATCTCGCCCAAACTTTGCAGAGTCTTTGGCCACACACACTCCTGAGCATAGCAAATGTGATTTATTAGCATTGACACCATATATTGCCTTAATAAGAGCCTGGCCCATAGTTAAGTACAATCGGCTATTTGTGGGGGCCAGATGCGGTCGATTGAGGAAGCTGAATTAGTCATGTGGCTAACCCGTTTCTGGTAAGTGCTCATATTTACATAAGACGGACTCATTAAGCGAACCCTGAGCAGAGAAAAACAAAAGATATTCATATATTACGCGTATTACGGCCGCTGACAGCTGCCATCATATTCGAAAGCACCATCATCATCGTCATCATGATCATCAAAGTCAATTAGCATAAAATGCGTTATCATTGATCCCAAAATAACTGCGAAATATTGATGGAAGCTTGTATTTTTGGTGACAATTGAACGACTTTATTTTTTATCGGAAACTCCCGAAAGCAGCTGCTGACGAGGAAGAGACTTTAGGATCGGGCAGATCAGCTGTTTAGAAATGAAATGGGAGCTGGCCCAGCTTTAGTGGGCTCCTCACTTTTCGTCCAGATATGTGAAGTAATTGGAAATATTACGACTTTAATTTTCTCTAAAACCTGCAGCGTTTCATAGTGAAAACCATCAGTAATGCAGACATGGACCTTGCCGCTGATCAGATGTGAATAGATCGGTACCAAATTCACATTGCAGCTGTTGAAGAAGAAGATACTGCAGTCTAGGGAGACGACCAGCTGATAGAGACCCTCCACACACTCGTTCCAAATGGTGACGCTCTCGAAAAGCAAATTGTCCTTTTTGCAAAATTCAATGATCTCATGAGCGTCAGAGAATGTGCGCAAGCAGATGACACCAGTGGGCGGGCTACCCAACACACTGCTGTCGCAATCGCAGACCACAATGGGCGAGGAATGTACTGACAGCATTTTGTCGTTTGGGATCATAAGAACCTCCAGCTTCATACTGTTGATCACCTTCAATGTCTTCCGATAATTGAGATGCGATGATATTTTCAAACTGAGTGGCTTCATTTGATCGTGTATGCGCGCCAAAAACTCAGCTCGAATGCACTTCTCAACGAATACTGTGGTCACCGCTCGGGGTGTGAACGGATTGTGAAGCGACTCGAGTAGAAAGTGGAGAGCACTGTGGATGTCGCCCTGCTCATAGACAACCATGAGTTGTGCATTGAATATTTCCTCAATCCTCAGAACGCTTGTATCATAAATGAAGGTTTCATGGGAACAGACTGTCAGACTGCCAAAGCTCGACAGGTCTCCGGCTATCGAAACAGGTGGTGTTGGTGCATTCATTCTCTGTTCGACCCATTTCGATTCATCTTTATATTTAACTATATCACAACTTAAATTGTGAACCATAGCACTTGAAACTACATCCTCATTGTGCGATTGCTCCGAAGACTCCGACTGCGTCGGCACAGATTCATACGACGGTATGGAGACCACATCATAGCTATTGCGACGCTCTTCGTTCTTCATCTTTACAGTTGCTTAGTGAAAGGTACTTAATGTATGTAATGTATATTAATATATTTGTATATATTTGTATGAATTTTGTGTAAAAGTTACTAATTGATGCAACGTGACAGATTTTACTATGCAGTATTCGAACTCGATACAGGGGGGTCATAAAGTATCTATGGAAAATGCTTTATTACTCCTCTTTTGAATTATTATATACGTTATATCTAAAATTACAAATTAAAAATAAATGTTATACTTTGTCAAATTTTAAATACGGGACAAGAGATGAAAATAAGCAAGAGGAAGTCCATTTACCTTATGTTGTCTCATATTGCCTTACAAGAGACAAGGTTAGACAATATAATAAAAGTCTTGAAGAGAGCTAGAGCTCAGTGAATCTCTGAGTATAGATGGGAGGGTGTCCAAGGCCAACACCAGTTGAGATAATAGTAACAACAAGTATGTTTCCTCTGAAAAGATTCCCTCTCACAACTACATAAAGCTTCTCTAATAATCAATTTCAGAACTTCCTGTTTTTTCCTTTAAAACTACGCCTCAGTTAAAAATCTCATAGTCAGTCAAGGCAAACACTTTTATATGATTCAATCTATTTAAAGCTTAGAAATGCCTAAGATACTTTCTTTAGATTCTCTAAGCACAGTTAAAGATGCTTTCTTTAGAGTCTCTAAACTCTGTCCAAGATGCTTTCTTTATATTTAAAAAACTGAATATTCTTAAGTTCCTTTGCAGTCGACAATCTAGCTGGCTTACACAAAACCTTTTGGCTGGATAAAACCAGCTTTAGGCGTGTTTAGGGCTAACAAATTTGCAAAACGAAAATCGCGCGACGAATTATTTATTAATCGGCAAATTTATGATCAAATGTGACAGTAAAATTAAAATATCACCAGCAGATACAAAAGTGCATGCATAAATTGTGTTTAGGGAGAGAGCCACAAATGCTTTTGGATTTGTTGAAATTAGCATTAAAATATTATAAATATAAAGTATATCCAAAAAGTATAATAAATGTTTGTGCAAAATATTAAACCCTTTCTTTTTTTCTCTGTCTCTTTTATTGCAAATGTGGATTGTCCTCATTTCATGGGCGCTTACTACAAAGAGCATAGAATGTTCATTTTTTGCATAGACAACAACAACGACAGCAATTACTAATAATACAATTAAAAACATTCAAAACCGCAAAATATTTTTGGTATTTTATGTAGGACTGAGTGTGGGCGCAACGCGGGATTTGTGGGTTAGGCTATATAAATTACCTAAACAAAAAGCACGGAAAGCAGAATCTGCAATTCTCTAACGAGATGTTCGAGTATTGGCTGAATAGAGAGAAACAGTTGATGAAAGATGAAAATTATTCAACTGAAACAGTTCGCATAACAAAAATATAAAATCAGATTTAAGTATAAAAAAAATTCATGCTGAAGTAATCTGAATCATATATCTTAATATATTTTTACTGAAAAGATCTAAATCACAATTTTTTGTTTTAGCAATCAAAAACCCATGAAATATCTCGACCCAAAAAGCAATGCATAAATATATATAGAGCAGCTCAGTTGACCGTGCAAAGCCGGTTAATATGTGTGCAAATATAACAAATAACAATGCTGTTGCTAACGATGACTATTTACATTTATCAAGAGTAATTATAATAAAATGCCAAAAATAAAATTTAAATTAATATAGAAAGCCGATTATAGAATAGGGACCCACAAAAACACGCGACACAGACACACAATGCGACTCTAATAAAATGCCATTGCCACAGCAACAACAACAACAACAATAGCAACTGTCAAATATAACAAATCCCATAAATCAACAATGCAAATTTGTTCACAAACAAAAAAGTAAAAAAAAAAAAGAAAATAAATAAATAAAATTAAAAAGCAGCCCTACATTTATAATAAATAATCGTATGGGCATAAAAAACAATTTACATTTACTTGTACAGATTTTACTTAGCTTTGCTAGCAGTGTTAAACAAGCAAAACAGTTATAGTCACATTATTGATTGATTTATAATGAAATACATATGTGAATTAGATGGGTAGCATCACATAAGCTCTGAAACTCTTAGGCACTTTACTGAGAATCCACTGTTTATTATGGCATTAGGGTTTCTTTAAGCTAAAAATAGACTGATGATAGTACGCTGAATATATACGAGGTGTGTCTAATAAGTTTAGAGTATTTTTGAATTTTTTTAAAAATATTATTTATTTATTTAAATCATTCAGCATAATAGGCCTAGCAATACATGTCAAAATAGCTGCAGTTTTAATTATTTAAATAAAAGAAAGCCATGATCACATCTGTTATAAGCTATTCCTTAATAATTGTGCTCGGAGTAAGAACATTTATATATTGCATCATATTTAAGGTTTGACAAACTAAAGGCTCTAATCGTTGGTTCCTCTTAAAGTGCATCATTGTGATAACAATGCGGATTACTCTGCCGTGCATATGGGCATTTGATGGACAGATTTGGTTCCAACAAATGAAATTCAATGTGATCAAGGTGTATGTATCTTTGACGGCCGTAATTGTGCTTGAAATGCTATTGATATATCTGAGTGTTAGTATGATGTATATGATAGCAGATTGGCTATCTGTGTTGGTAAATATATATCCACTTGAGCTGCTCTAGTTGCTACATTAACCCATCTTAGTACCTGCCTCTGCTTATTTATGGCATGCATCGCACATATGTGTTATGCGTTGTGCATTTTCCAACACTTATCAGTGCCGCAGATGCGAATAGTTTGCTTTTACAATACTTCCAAGATAACTTTGAGAACGACGATCCCAAATGGCTGGACTTGCAGGCAGAGGTAAGTGGACTGTCCAAATGGAATTCGATTTCTTCTTTAAAGACTTCTTTTCGCAGTTGGAATGCTGCGGCTTGCAAGGTCCTCAAACTTACATGGACTATTTGCGCCAGGTGCCTGACGTGTGCTATCGTAAAGGTGTCTTAGTCACTCGCGGATGTGAGGGTATTGTCTACGATACTTTCCATGGTGTTCACTGGCTGTCCAAGCTACTCAGCTGGTTGGCATTGGCTCTGCAGCTCATAACCTTCCTCCTTTACCTAAAGCTTCTAATTATGAAATATATTTACTTAATTTGTCGAAGCATAAGATGATCTAGTATGTAGCAGAAGTAAGGGTATCCACTTACGTATTTGTTTAGATTATAAAATGTATCAAAGCTAAAGTATTTTTTGTATTCAGTCAGCAGACGTCAAGCTCCCATCTCCAAGGGTCAAATGCTGTTTTTGTAAAATTAGAAAACAAATAAAACTTAATATTTAACTAAATGTTTGCATTTCGATAAAGAACTGTTATTCTGTTAATACTTGTGATTTATTCTGCAGCAGATAAAAACAATTCCTGAAATTTATGTATTTCTATATATTTTTAGAAATGTCAATTTTATCTATCCGCTTTTTGTGGCAGTTAAAAGTATGGAGCGAACGGGTAGATGGGTGGGCGTCTGACAAACCTGAGAGAGACAAATAAAATAAATTGAAATTAGCTTCCTTTGTTGCCGTTGACAATTTGAATAAAATTAATATAAATTTTGCGCCCATTTTTAATTAATAAATGTCAAATATTTCGCGCATGGGTAGTTATTTGCAAATTTATTTGTCTGATTTGTACGTTTTTTTTCATTATATACACATATTTTTTTACTGCAGCTGTAATATTTTACGCAAATTTTAAATTTACTTTTGGTGTTGTTTACAAATGCAGCGATAACAAATTTCACAGCTAGTTGTGATGGAAAGTGCGAGACAGCGAGAGGCGACCAAGGCGACGAGAACGAGGGCGAGCGAGAGCGAGCATAAAAAGAGCAAGCGGAAACATCCTTTGAACTCTCAGGCGGAAACGGAAGTCAACATTAGTAGGCAAAGCTGAATTTTCGCCATTGGCCAGCGCAACAACAATGCGCTGCAATTATTAATGCTGCCTTTCCAAAATTCCACTTTTTTTTTAGAAATTTTTATAATACCAGGAAATTATTTACACAATTTATTACCCAATGGCATAGGTCAACCAGGATATTTAGATACAATTTTGTTGAATGTTTTGATGCTGCCAATTGGGCAAACAAATTTATTTATTGAAATCAATTTAATGTTTTTTTTTAACAATTTCTGTGGTGATTGAAAAATGTCATTGAAATTTTTGTGTAAACTTCATTTAATTATATTTATCATAGTTTAAGCAGCTTAGCTAATAATTTAGGCTGTCCCTTAGAGTGAAGTCACAGGTATTTTTATGCTTGTTTACCAAGTGAAAAGAGTATATTGGCTTAGTGTAATGTTACTTCTGGTGGCCGTCCATCTGTCCATCGCTATGGATGCTAAAAACTTGGAATTTGGAATATATGTATATTCGTCTTGTACAAGACAAATCGACATACACATTCCTATTTGCTTTATTTAAGACAATAATCAAGAAAGAGTAACTCAAATCGATATTAGATAGTAGAAATTATAAATATAAACAACTAACATAATACAAATATATAGTATAAATTTATTACGTATAAAATTCATGTTATCAACAAATGCAAACTATCAGCCATTGAAATCTTTGGGGGAACCTAATTTGCCATTTAAAGTTAGTCATGTTTACTGATGTCATTAAAGGCAACGCCTGTAGCCGTCCATCATGATAGATAGCTGTGGCAATACTGGAAGATAGGGTTGTACTCTGTCAGCGTTAAATTTAAAACAAAAAATAACGTATACGTAGATAATCAGGCATTTGAAGTCATAAATTTCAAATGCACACAATAAGCGCAAAGCGAAAAAACTGTCTACAACTCATGTGGCGCAGGGAGGTTGTGGTGGAGTGGGGTGGGGCGGGGCGGTGGTTTGGAATGCGAATTGTGAATGGGGCTGGCAAGTGTCAAACATTGGCCATCAGACGAGCGCCCAGCAGAGCGAGTGGGTCTTATCATTTGCTCATAAAAATGTCAAAACTATCTCAATGACATTGACTGATGACGATGGAGACGTTCGAGATGATGATGTTGCTGATGTTGACGATGAGGAGTAGCGCAATGTACCCGACACTCGCATGAGGATCTCGTGTGGCATGCGGCATGCGGCATGCGGCTGGCTACAGGATGCCAATGCTAAATGCTTTTTGCCAGTGCTACTCAAACGACAAGTGCCTGCCACATGGATGCTGGGGTGGGGGAGCAGAAAGCGAAGGCAACAACAACACTCAACACGCATTCACTGTTTGAGCGATTTCAATTTTTTCGAGCTGCAGCCAGTCACCCAGGCAGGCAGGCAGGCAGCCATCCATCTATCCATCAGTGTTGAATGAGAGTCGCTCTTGAAGCCATCATCAGCATAACCATCCTCTGGCTGTCATGATTCATGGCTTCGATTGAATTTTGATTGACAATATCGCAAGCGTTTAAAGTGTCTGTTTCCCGCATCCGATATCTATGGAATGTTTGTGTGTATGTTGTTTTTTTTCTGTATTTTTCTGCTTTCATTCATTCTTCGATGTCAGTACTTGTAGTAGTAGCTTGACTCCTGGGCTCCGGGCTAAGTGATGCAGCTTTGCGAAAGGGATTTTAAAATCATTTGTCAACTGACAGATGAGTCTTTGATTGACTTCACTTGCCAATGAATACATCAGCCGAGTCGCCTACGAGCATGCCAAGTCTAAGTACTCGTAGAAAGGCAATGAATACATTCACTATATATTTCTGAGAACTTGGATATATTGCATTGCATCTGCTTATCGCTGCGTCAATTAGAAGCGCTCATAAAATATATACGAGAAATTAGTTTAGTCTTAATTTATGGGGCACGAATAGTCGTAGTCGTAGTCCAAGCATGTGCGCCTTCCCCATGGGAGAGATTTGCTGGTTGGAGCGAAACAATGCTGATTGCAACCCCATCACATCTCGACCCACCCGCTCGACATGCACATCGATTAGCGATAAGATCGACACGGCTGGCAATTTATGACCGCACTCAGATGTGAAATAACTATTTCTTTTTGACATTGATTGAATTAATTTATGAGCCCAGCCGTCGGACGGCTCATTGACAACTATTTATGGCACTAACAATCTGAACCAAATCAGGGCGATTTGAGTGATTACTTATTTGCCCAATTTGAGATTTATACTTGGACATTGACGTTGTTGCCGCTAGACATTGAAATTTACAATCCAGAGCACTTCGAAACACTACACGATTTCGACTAGACGATAAGACCTACAAGTCTGCAGGCCAGTTAAATATATATTCAATATATATTGGCATACTCTATTTTTATCAACTAATAATTGTATGAAAAGTCTTCTGCCATGATGACTTGACAAATATTTAAATAATTTCAATAGGCTTTAGAGGCAAATACTAAATATAAATATTATAAAGGTTGGTTTTCTTAGAGGCATGCAACTTTAATTTAGCCACATTCCACTACTTGATAACCCATTTAATAGTTGATAGTTGCTTTAAGTTGATTTTGGCTTGTCATATTATAATTAATAATAAAGCTAGCAAACTGTTGAAATTTTATATCAAAATAAATGTTTTATTCGTCCAACGTTAATGCCATAAATATTTCTATTCAATTAAGCTCGTTTCATTAATATTGAAAATATATTTGTTCACGTAATTATAATATATTAGAATTTCTTATCACATTTGGAGATTGACTTCGTGTTTATAATTCATATATTTGTTGAATGTAAAGTTGTGTGTTGAAAAGTTCTTTATTTCCTATGCGAGAGTCTCGATGCTCGCTTAATGTATTAAAACCTCATCTGACAATTTGAAAAACTTGAAAGAACTGACTGGCAACTGGCAGTTGGCAGTTGGCAGCTGGCAGCTGGGACAGTCCATTGCTTAATTTCATATACTTTTATCCCATTATTTAACGAAACAAAAAGAATAAACGCAGAGTTATGCACTGTGGGCTCTCGACTGACAATCGCAATTGGCACCGTGCGGCTCACCCGGGGATCACGTTTCGCGACGCATTCCAATTTGTGCGTTGCGAGCCGCTTGACAATCGCCAACAATCAGTGAGAAATGCGTTCATTTTAGGACATTTTGCATTAATTGAAAGCGAGTTGTGTGCTGTGGACAAACTGAATCCCGGCATTTGGCATTGGCATCCGCGGTGCACCAGCCAAATGGTTTTTAATTATTTTTTTAAATTTATAATTTTTGTTGCAACACTGAATACCCACCCACCACCACACACCCACACACCACTCACACATACGCGCAACTCGCAAATAAATTGGAAATTATAACGAATGCAATTTTTATTTTTATTTCCATTTTATTTTTTTTGTTTCATGTCAGCCTTTGCGCTATATATTTTAATTTTAATTCAATTGCACGTCTCTCATCGCTGCCGACTTGGGGCACTCGCTCTTCAAATAAACTGACATTTTGACGCAAATTATCCGCTGCGGGCAATCCCAATGCCAGCAGCTATTGTTGATTCATGTAAAGGATTTTTACGCTTTTTATTTATTTATTTCGTATTTCTCTTATTTTTTATTATTGAAACAATAATTATTGTCGAATCTGTTATGAAGTTTTTATAACAAAATACATATTTTAAATTAAGTTCTAATTTATTTCTAATTATTTGAAATAAAAGAAACCCTTAAAAGATTAATTTTTATAATGGCATCTTTTTTTGCATTTTCTTAAAAAAGTATTTTTACTTGATAAGGCAAAATAATAACGTCGTATATTTAAACTAAAATGATGATATTATTCAACAAAAAGTAATTAAAAACTTTCGTTTTCTCTGGTATTTACTAAGTTGAACAAAAAGGTTTTTTGTTACTTGATCCTAAGTCGAATCCATTAATAACCGCAGAGGTCTGTAACACTTTTACTGCGCTGCAATCCGGTATTGGACAATCCGAAGCGAACAGTAATATTTATGGTTCACAATCGGAAATTATAACCTATATAATAATCAAAGAGACGAAAGCCAAAATCATAAATTCAAATGCAATCAAAAAGCATCAACAAAATACATGCGATGACAATAAATATAAAAAAGCTCATAAAGCGAGCCAGCATAACGCCAAGCAATGTCTATGACAACACTCACAATACAAATCGAATGTTGTTCGTAGACAAGATACTTTGTAGTATCTGATATCATCGGGCAGTGGAAGAGCCGAATACTCTATAGTTTGTCTATTTTCATCCTCTATAACATTATCAGCTGTGTGTTGCTCTGTTTCTGTTTTGAGAAATTTTTATTGATAATAAGTTGCAACTATTGTATTTATTTTTATTGATTTAGAGCAGAAAAAGTAAAGGTTGTCAGAATATTTTGTATAGACTAGTAATGTGAGATTTAAGGGCACCTCGACTTGAGCGTGATCAAAGAATCATGACAGTCTAATAGACTATAATTTATATTAGCCACTTTTCGAGCCTCAAGTCTAGATTTTGGATTCTAAAATTTCCATTAGGATACAGACAATTATAACAATTCGAAATAATGCTTTATATGTTACAAGTACTGTAACTTATGTATGCTAAAGTAAAAGATTTTCAATAATTATAGCCAACTCTGATCAGTTCCAACAGGAAATGCCCAATTCGGTTCAGTTACTACACGGATGATTCACACTTTCTGTCTGTCACATACGTTTTGAAAAAAGCAATGATACCCTTGCCCAAATTCAATAAGTTTAGGGTATATAAAAAAGCCACAGCTCGATGAAGTCAGAATTGAAAGCAAAGTGTCATAAACCATTTGACATTTATCAGTTCGTCAAATTGAGCTAACGCAGAGCTCGTCTCGCTAAGGCACAATCACGGAAACCAAAGTAGAAACTGAAACTGAAACTGAAAATGGAAATGGAAATGAAAATGGGTCTAGCTCGTGCATGGAACGGGGGTCGACTGTCTGGCACAAACTCGACCGGGCGATAACTAACAAATGCTTTATTGTAATTGCCTTTATCAGCAGTGCTTATGAGCTTTTCGGCTTCAGTGTGGATCAATCTGTATAGGGGCGTATTAGCATAGCCGAATACGCGATGCATCTGCTTTTTTCTCAGAGAAAGATTAACACAAATTTTGCCCAAGCTAAAGACGAATCTGTCAGAGTCAATAGCCAAACATTCTTTTATGTGAAAATGAGGCACACAAAAGGATTGATTCCCCTAGATGTTGATACGTCTTAGAGCTCTGCTGTAGGACACTGAATTGTACTTGAATCTTATAGCTCTTTCAAATAGTCCTTTGCCACGTGATATTTATAGTCGATAACGATAACGATCATTACAAATATGATTTTTAATGATCATTTTCGTAATGCTATTTAGGTTACGATTCAAATACACTGCTTTGTTCTGTTTGAAATTGTTAATTACTAAACTCACTATATTTAGTAAAATTAATATTATTTAAGAGCATTTTATTTTACTTACTCCCTTGTGATATAGTTAAGTTACTTGCAAGGTGTGTCATAGGAATATAGAAATATAGAATATAGAACATAGAATCGCTACTCTTAATTATAATTTTTATATCATATTTTTGCACATGTGCCCAAATATTTCCCTAGGACATATTCCGTAAAAATAGTTTATTACATTATGATAGTTTGCAAGTCTACATAAGCACAAGTGGTAAATGAAGCTAAGCTGCTCAACAAATTTATTCAGATTTAATTTCGACTGATTGACGATTGCCTGGTAACTTGTTTCAGCTCAGTTGCTATAGCTCTCATCGAAATGGGTGTGGTCCAGAGTATGATCCGTGCCATATGCGTGGACTATTTCAAACTCGCTGAAGAAACAAAATATGAGAAATAGCGAATAAAAGACGACGCCCAGCAATGCTCCAGTTCGACGCAACATAAAGTTAGTTGTAGTAGCATACAGAATTTTAATAATTAGAGCTGTGACAAGAAAACAGGAGGCCGTGGAGCCAAGAGTGCCCTCAGTGACCTAGATTTAAAAAGAAGTACATTAGAATAATACGAATAACGAATGGGATCGATATACATTTATCGAATATTCGATATTAGGTCGGATTGGAGAATATCCAAGGCATCTCAAGCTTTCTTAAAAGCATAATGCGACTCTCGGCTACTAAACTCTGGTCTGTGTAAAGCATATCGATTGCTTTTGACTTAAAATTATCGACAACTTAACCAGATATCGTAAAATACTTACATAACAAACGACACCTTTGCGAGGAGATGTTATGGTGGAGTACAGATAAGGTATGCAAACTGACGAGAAGATAGCTGAAAGACGACAACAGAATGCATGTAGCACACAGATTAATCGAAAGTTTCGATAATCTTACAGATTATAATGGAGCCAAAGCAAGCAGCGTAGGCCATGCGAGGTAAGCCGTTCCGAGCCATGTTCAAATTAATCAGAAGATCCGACCATCCAGAGCCCCAGGTGTAGAGTGTGCAGCCAATGAAGGTGTGACTGCGACTTAGTACAATGCCCACGGCTTCAAGCAAGGCGTTCAGTTCGATGGTCATCGTAAAGAGAACCGTAAAGCAGCCCAGGATATTCAGGGCCTCCGTGAATTTGTACCATTTCGGCACCGTATCGGTGCGCGAAAATGAAAACGCCATAAACGAGAATGGCAGTAGAATGACCAGACACATAATAATCACAGTTAGCTTCCAACCGCGCAGACTCTCAAATTTATCGACTAAGTAAAGAAAAAGAGGGCAGCCCGATGAGATCATGGCGAAACAGACGATTCCAGTGCAGCTACTGACCGAATAAGACGACGATAAATGTGGGCGTTAAGGTGATCTGAATGCAGCAAAGCAGCTTTGAATATGATTCAGACGATTGATTCAAGTAGATTTCTGGTATCAGTACGCGCAAGACAATCATCGGCAGCACCTTAAACAAGGCCCACATTTTGCAGAACGTCCAAGCGCTGTTGAAGCGATTTTTGTCCAAAGTGTTGAAGATGCGAAAGAACTGTCTAAATAACTTGTCATTGGGCGAACGTGAAGCCATTTCCGATCTGATATTCGCAGGTTCTCCGGTGACGGGTACAGCGGAACTTTCAGCATTCCTCAGATTACTCGCGTGCTCTGCAACGAAGATTGTTCACATGGGAAGTCTTTTAGCGAATGGCTCACCCCTGTCCTTGCGATTTTGCATATACTGATCGCAGAGTATAAGTGTGAGATAAATGGGAAATATGAGTGTCATGGACACGGCCCAGCCAATTGTCAGGAAGCCCTTGGTCAAGAAAACTGAAAAATCCACAAAGGTCACGTAGAGCACGACGAAGCCGACACAACGCACAAAGTAAACGGCATCGATGGCAAAGGGCTTCACCCACATAATTATCGAAGATGTGAAGACGCCCATAAATAGACTGACCGACATCGTATCTGAGTAAGCGTGACGCGATTTATTTGTCAGACCAAGCACGCTGCCAAAAATGCCCGGAGCATTGTTGCCCAAGGTAATTATGGTCTCGCCGGCAACATATTCATTCATATTAAGCATACGCGCTATGAGCGTTAGAGCTGGCACAAAGCTAAAAAGGAAATTCGATGGACGATTAGAAATCCTTCCCTGCTTCTTGCAGCTGCAATACCCACTATCGAATCGTGGTGAAGTAGATGGCCCAAAACAGTAGCACGCACTCGACGAGCAGCAATATGATGCAGGCCAGGCTTAGCAGATCATCGTTGTCGCACGTGCAATAGAAGAATGCATTGTAGTTGATTATGAACACTTGGTCTCTGCACGACGGATTATTATGAGCGTATTTACAACGTTCGTCTTTATCTAAGAAGGTGATTCGTTCACAGCTATCCTGCGAACATGCAGCGAATCTCTCATTAGAGCCACATTCGATCTCATTTGGACAATGACTTACCGGCTTCACCGGATGCGCGAAACCTATATGCCTCTTTTGGTGGGACGACGTATGGTTAGTCCTATTGAACCACTCGAGCTGGTCAAAGTCCATTTTAGCGAGCACTTATAGATTGTCAGCAGGTCAGATTGCTGCAGACGCCGAAGGAGAGACTGGGGATATCCTAATGCAATTTACTAAACATACTTTACAAACGAGCTACCGACCAGCTGAAAGTTATCCTTTGATATCCTTCTTCACATAATCTATAATCTTTTTTTAATGATATATGAGTATCTGCTTCAGCGCAGAAATTTTGGCCTCCAATGTATCTATCATAACTTCTAAACCTAATTTAGTGTAGTCTTTATGTAGTTTTCGTGTTGTGACTATGAAATACTTCGAAAATGTGTCATCTTTTAAAATATGATTAACTTTTCAAGGCTGTGAAGAGCTCTTACTGCACGCCAGCTCAAAGAACATTAGACGAATAAATAGATAGAGCGATACATGCCTACATCAGCTCAGTTTATTTAGACTTGGGTCTGCTTTTATCTCTTATATATTCGAATAAATAACAACTTTATACATTTTATAAGCAAATGTGGACGAAAATAATAAATAGACACACAGTTTAAAGTCAGCTTAAATTAATTGTAATTTAAATTTATTTTTATTAAAATATGTATTAAGAATTTTTTTCATTTTGCACATGAATATTCTACTCTTTTTATTGGGATATTTAATATTTTTAAAATGAATGAATGCATTTTTAAATATAAATATTAATAAACAAAAATTGTATATATTTTAGAAATATAGAATCAAAAATATTCATAAAAACATATTCATTTTCACTTTAAAAAATATTTAAATTACAAATTCTATGTTTATGTCTTCATTTTGTATGTTTCTATACCCTGAACCCACTGAAAAAGGGAAAAAAGTCTAAAATAAATCGAAGCAAATAGTAAAAAGTCAGAAAAATGTAATTATAATTAAAAAACTTAGAACAACTCATACATTAATATTTATACCTATATTATATTATTTATTTATTTTTTTTTATTATATTTTTCACATCATTACAATTTTGGGTTTTCATAGTTTTCGAAAAGGGAAAAATTATGAATTGATTTAATTGAATGTAATTAAAATATTTTATGCTGGCATTGAATAATTAAACAATAATTGAAAAACAAAACTGACAAAGGTGCGCTGCAGCAATTTCTGCTTGATAATAATTGTAACCAAATAGAGTTGAGATATATGTATCTGGCGGCAGGTGAAAATTAATTAAAATTGACAAATAAAAAGAATGGAAATAGAATTTTTGGAAAAATAAATTAATTTGTAACAACAAACAAACGACAAGCAACAAAAGAGCAAATTGTTGATCCCGCGCTACGATATGCCAAATAAAACGCAGCCAACTAATAAATAAGGGAACAGCTAAAAACTAAACACAATGCCAAACACCAAATTCTAAATACTAAATACTAAATACTTTTATTGCAATTGTTCTAAATAAATAATGAGCACAACTGTACGCCGAGCAGGCGTGCGAGAGGTGCGAGAGAATTATAAAATCTAATCACCTTTGTTTAAAATTTAATGAATGCAATAATTTCCAGAGGATTTCCCAGCTGCACAATCATCAGCGGGCGACTTTTTCGGGCCGTTCGGTAATTGGTGACAGCCGGATAATTGTGGAAGCGAGAAGCCCAAATATGCTGGCCATAAAAAAATAAATATAAATAAAAAACAACAAAAACTAAATGCGAAAAACAAATAAAACGGATTTGTATCTGTTCTCCCCTGCTATTGCCCAGCCCCCAAAGCATTAAAAAACAAAAACAAAAACAAAACTTTGAAATAACAAACAAAAGAATTTTAATTTTATGTTATTTACCCATTGCAAATATCCCATTCGCAGCAGCAGCAGGAGCAGGATCACTGCAGCACAGCACAAATGGCCCAAACAACAAATATTTAATGCTTTCATAAAAATCGCACAATTTATTTAACAAATTGACCATTTCAACATTTTTACCGACAATGAGGTTAATTTGTGTGTGGGTGTGTGTGAGCGACTGTGTCTGTGTGCGAGTGTGTGTTAGCACCTAACCAAAACCAATCCAAGTTCTATGCAAAACGTCCAAACATACATAGAAATACACACATATCATATGTATATATATATATCACTTATCTAGTTACCTTTACATAGATGAACAGTCTTTTCTAGTTGCATACAATTAGTGTTGGTAAATACATATACAGCAGCACAGTGTAGGCTAACGTTATTACTAGCTGCTGCTATTCAAAGCTGCCTTTGCCCTTGGCAGCACAACTCAAATAGACTTTCAGCTGATGAACAAAGGATACTCCATAAGGCATGATATATATAGATTAGTGTTGGTAAATGCAGCGCTTTGAAGAAAAGAGTTCTTTATAAATAATAATTTAAAATAAAATCATTTTATTTATGAAATTCATAGTAAAATTTTTTTTTTATATTTCGACCTTAAACATTTTGAAAAACTTAAAATTCCAAAGTAAAAAAAAAACATTTTTAAAGAATTCATAACTAACTCTTCTATAAACTAAATATTTTATATTTTTTGGGATGATCTTGCCTCATCTTACAGGGTGTAAAATATGGGTTTATAGGTTATGCAATGAACATCAATCAGTCATAAGACACTATTTCATAGAAACAAAAAAGCCATAAAGAACTAACAGAAATAGAGCTTACTTATTTGACCTTTTTCAGTGTTGCCTAACACACAATAAATATGCATCGATCAATCAATCAATCAGAGTAAAATCAATATATAAAAGAATGTTTGCTCAATCAAAAAATGCAGAAAGAACTCATCGAAAATGAAGCTCAACAAGCAGCTGCTATGCCGTACTCCACACAGCCAATGCCAGTGTTGGGCAATGCGCAAATAGCTGCAGTAGAGAGAGAGAGGTGAGAAAGAGGGAGGGAGAGACAAGTGCAGTTGCGTTGACGTTGTCATCAAAATAAAAATTAATTATGCATTCTATGCGCTGCATCTGAATTGCTTTTGTTGTTTGTTACTGTCATTTCAATTTTGTGCTTTTTCTGCTGCTGCTGCTGCTGCTGCTGACGCTGCTGCTGCTGTTTTGTGCGGGATTAATGTGGGATTAAAGCGGCAATGCGTAGTTTTTAGCATTTGGATCTGATAAAGCGCTGGCGCAAATAAATTACAAATATAATAATTAAGCAGAGCATTATTTCTGACAAAACAAATGTACGCCCCTGCCACGCCCCCCATACACCACGGCGTAATCGCAGCGACAATCGGCCGAAGTGGGCGCAGCCAGAGCGAAATGCATTTGTGCATAGGAATTAATTACGCATAATGACAATTTGATAAAACTGAAAAATTACATATTTAAATTGATTTATTGTAATTAAGAATTCTATAATCGTGCATATGCAAATATCTAAGCTGGCCACTCCGAATTGTTATTATTTAATGATTGAACAAAAACTCAATCTGCTTCGTTCAAATAAAATAGATACGATATTTGATGCTTCAGCCATTGGAGCAGGCTGAACTTGCGGCGCTTCGATTGCGGCTCTGCAACGGCTGGCAGCTGCGACGCGGCTCGTTTATCGATAGCTGCCATATCGATGTCACATGTTATCGGTTGGCTAACCTCATGGTCTGCGACGACAGCAAGTTGAGTCGACTCGCAGCGCATCTCGAGCAGAGGATGCTCTTGCCTAACGCGAACGAGCATATCAGCACCGTAGCCGACCTTTTGGCCATCGTAGCTGAGCGCCAACTCGCAGTCCTGCATGCAGTCGTACCTCAGATACATCAGACTGCAACTCGTGAAGCTCCTGTCCACAATCTGACCAATATCGAGAAAGAACCGATACACCAAAGAGGCGCAATCCAGCTGATACCCGCTCACGGCTATCCAAGACTCATGTCCCAGCTCCCCGCGCGAACGGCTCAGCCTCTTCTTAGCTTTGATGACGGCCATGGATGTCAGCTTCCGCTTCTTGGCCTTGGCCTTGACCTCAATCTCTGTACGCTCCGCGTAGACAGCCACAAATGGCGGCAAATACTGCTTAGCGGGATTCCCCTCGATGTCCCCTGCAAACGCACCTGCATTAGCCATAATGGAGAGTATATGTTAAGAGAGATTTAAGGAATGTCTATATGAAATGTTTATAAAGTGCTTAATGAAAGGAACCTTGACATATAAAGCTGGAAGTAAATGTGACAGAAGCTGAAGTTGAAGTGGAGAAAAGAGCAGTGGATGAGGGAGCAGAGAGACGACAGAAGAAAGAGAGAAAAGCGAAGACAGACGAGGAGACAGAGGAGAAGCAGAGAAAAGAAAATTTATAGATGATAGAAGGGAGTAGAAAGATGAGAAAATAGAATAGTATGAGATAAGAGACAGAAAGGGAAAAAGATGAGTAGGCAATAGAAAAGAGAGAAGAGAGTTTAGATAGGAGAAAGAGAAGAGGAGGTAAGCAGAAGAATTGAGAAAAGGGAAGACTGCAGAAAGAAGTCGTAACAGAGATAAAAGGAAAAGAAAAGAGGGAAGTTAGAAGAGAGAAGAGAAGAGCGAGAAATAAGAGAAGAACGAAGAAAGCAAAGAATAGAGAAAAATGAGAAGAGTAGGAAGAAATAAAGAAGAATGAGCAGAGAAAGAATGTAAGAAAAGAGAGACGAGAAAGAGAAAGGCAAAGATAGAAGAAGAGGCGAAGAAACGAAAAGTATCGAATAGAGAGAAAAGAAAAGAAAAAAGTAGAAAAAATAAAGGAAAGTTGCGAAACGCAAAAAAAGAAGTAGAAAGAAAAGAAAAAAAAGGAATTGAGAAAAGAAAATATGCATTAAAATGCATAGAAGATAGAATGGAAAGACAAAAAATAACAATATAATTTGAGTCTTTTATTTACTCCTATAGCTGGACTTGTAGATGCTTATAATACCATAAATATTCTATAGAAAAAGAAAATTTTAGATGGCCAGCTGAGCTACATATCCCAATACCCAAATCCTAATTCCCTAAATCAACTTTATTTTTAAGTAAAAAATGCTTCATAATATCAGACACTTGTTCTAGATTTCTCCATTGCTAAATATGATTAAAAGGTGTTTTTTTTAATACGAAATCAAAATCGAAATCAAATCGAACCGGCGGCAAGATCAAACGTTCCCTTTCCGTTCCACAAACTGCGCTCTATTTAGAATATCGACTTTTGACTGTCTATAAATTGGATGAAATGGAACAAGTTCAAAGTGAGATCGGAGCAATAAAATATTAAAAATTACAGTTATAAATATGTTGCTGAATCGCTGTTCAGGTAGCATGGGGCAGGCGCCACAAAGTGGTTGCCACCCACACAGCCAAACAAAGCTGCCGACAGCGGAAGTATCCATCAAAGCAGCCAATTGAAGAGACCATCAAGAGGCACCCGAGAAGCTTCAAGATTCAAGATTAAAGATTAAAGGCGAAGGCGACGGCGACGTCGACGGCGACGGCTACGGCAACATTTCAGCGTATCCGTGCAAAGAGACTTCAAACGGCGGAGTCTGCGATGTTGTTGTTGTTGTTGTTGACGAACCTGTTGATGCCCTCTAACTAGAATCGGTATTAACTAATTGAGTTATGTAGACTCTTTGTTTGTTTATTTGGCAGCGACGGCGGCGGCCTTTGAACTTGCAACTCGATCGAACTCGACTGCGAACTGATTGATCAGTAATTGCGATAGATACTCAGATACATACACACACACACACATACATACATATATGTATATGTAAATGTAGTTGGATACTCGACTCCCGGGTCTTAGGTGTTAATCATGCGTGAATCATATTTTTCAGCCCAATTTTCAACTCAGATCAAAGTCGATTTCCTTTTGTTAGCTGATAAAATCCAATGAGCGATTCGATAATTAGCTGTGATCTATCGATTGAAGCGTTAAACGATTATCGATTCAGCCAATTGAATTCTGAATTTGAATTCGAGTTCAGACTTCGATATGTGGAATGCTTTGATGTTGGCCAATGATCGGCTAATGAGATACCCTAGCTGCTTAGATTTCAGTCCATTTAACGACAAATTAGATATGCATAATAATTTCTTATCAAGGTTTATGGAATGATTCGAAATTATATAATACGACATATATTTTTAGGACTTCTTTTCTATATTTAACTTAAGTTTTATGTAATTGAATATTCCGTTTAGACACATCTAAAACAATTACAGAGTATATTAATAACTTTTATTATTCTAAAGATAAAATAAAATAAATAAAATATTCAAATATATATTTAATATTTATATTTATATCTCATATCTAAATATTAATATATATTTAATTTGTTAGCAAGCCAATATACCCTTCCAGCCCATTGAAAACAGTTACAGAGCTAAACAATATATTATTTTTTAATGAAAGAAAGAACATAAAAAATATGCAAAAAAACGTATTTTTAGATTGCGTCACAATTGTTGAAATCTGTGATTCTAACGGTTGTAAGTCAAAGGGATTTGATTTAAACAGTGATTAGGGTAATGGGGAGGTCTCAGTCGCAGTTGCTGCCGCTGCCGCTGGCGCTGCTGTTGCTGGCGTCGCTGCTCTGCTGTTTGCCGGCAAAAGCTTGCACATGCAGAGACCTCCTGCACCTATACACGTGCTCGTCCATGCATAAGTACGCGTTGTTTGTATTGGAGCGCTCAGCAGAGCGACAACAATAACAAACTCTCTTTCTCGCGTCGTGAGCAAACTGCAGCGTTACGTTGAGCACGAGAGCGCGACGAGCAATTGCCAATTGGTTTTTGCTCTCTCGCGCTCTTTATTTCCCCTCTTGCAGACGCTGCGCTGTTTCAATGCCGGCGCGTTTCACATTTCCCCAGCGCATTACCCCTGCTAGCAGATATTTGCGCTCTCTCTGCGTTCTCTTCGTTTTAGTTGTGTTTTGATTTCCCCTCTTTAGCTGTTGACACGCTGCTCACACTTGCCTGAGCAGCGCCTCGTGCCATCTCGCTTGTGCGCCCAATGAGCTGGGCTAGCTGTTTGGCATGTTACGTTCATTCTTTTTGTTGTACTGTTGGTGTTTTTTGTTTTTTTTTTGCCTGTCTTCCCTGCTTTGCCTTGCTGTGTGCGTTAATTGTTGTTGTTGTAGCTACTGTAAACACACACACACGCAGATGTACACTCACAAAAGGTTGACATCTTTTATTTAGTTTTTTTTTGCATTCCTCCTTTTGACATTTTTCAGTTGTCATTCGAGATGTTCCCTTACACTAATTGACAATTTTCCATTGTTATCGATAAGGTAATCGATTGTGAGTTTGTTCTACACATATTTTATTCATTTCTCAAATCATTTTATATTAGATATTCAAGATGAAAGTTCCTAAGCGATAACGTATCGATATATTGAAAAGACAGTTTAATATTGTAGAAACAAAATGAAATTAGAATATGAATACAAAAAATCTAATTGGCAATGCCTCTATTTTTTCAACACCTGAAAAATACGATAAAAAGAATAATGATTATCGATAGAAAGTATCGATTTGTATAGATTAAATGTCTGAAAAACCGACTATTCCTGGGAATATCCCTACTATTTTTATAGAGCAACCCATAAAACCCCAACCATTTCGTTCTTTAATAAAGCCGCTAAATTTATCGAATAGTCGATTGCACTAGGATTTGCGAAATGAGCTGCTTGAAGGGCGCCTGCGGTTGCTACGCAAAGAGTCCGTTCAGTGGGTCGCTGGGAAAGAGCTTCCACCTGTCCGATGCATGCAACTCCTGCGTCTGCCGCATTGGCTACTCCGGCACTGGTGGAACGAAGACATGCGTGGGCTGTCGGACGAAGAAGCCGGTGCCGGAGCGGATTCAATGGCTTCGCAGATATCGCGTGCACCTGGCCAACGAGAGGAACTGCGACTGTCGCAGTGCCTCGCCCAAGGACTATTGGTACGACACGAATCGGGAGACCATAAAGAGCTTAGGCCGAGCATTCGACGTGCCCGTCGACCAGCTCGCCGACTTTCTCTACATGCTGACCATGCAGAACTTTTCGGCAATGCTGAATCCGCACGGCAGCTGCTTTGCCGGCTACCGCCTGCCGTTCTACAAGAGCGACACCTGCAACCTGTACGCCAGCATCTTCGACGATGAGGGCAACGTCCGAACGCCGTTCAGCCCGGGTGCGTTGATCAGTCTGTTGACGGTGCTGCAGCAGGTGTTGCTGCAGGACCATCAACCGCCTCACCCCCCCGAACTTCCGTTTTTTATGGAAAAGAAAAAATACAAATCGAGCAAATTGAAGGAAAGACTTAAGCTGGTATCATTCGACAGCCTGAACAGGCGCTTCGACATCCCCGAGACGTTACAGATCAAGAACCCAAACCCATTGGACTATCGGCAAGCGCCCTTTGCGAACGCACTGGACGTGGCAGCGCCATCTAGCAAACAGCTGAGGCACTTGATGGATGTTGTCAGATATAAGTCGAACATCAAAATAGATTTCGCGAGTAGCTTGGAGAAGCTCGACCTGAAGGCGGCCAGCACCAGCAACGCGAAGAGGCAGAGCTTGCAGAAATTGTCGAAGGGCGTCGCCAGGGAATACTCTTATTTAATCCAAAACGACCAGCCGAGGCTAAGCACGCCTCGAACGAGCCTTCCAAGGGAGACTACTGAAACAATTGAAGAGCCACCAACGAAGGAACAAGAACACTTGTACTTCGGCGAGCCGATTCCAGTGCTGATGCACAAGCCCTTCAATCCCAAGGAATCGGAGACGTTCCTCCGTCGCGCTCCCAAGCAACTTCGCGTGGATGACAATGGAAATGTGGTCGATAGCAAGAACCTGCGTCGTTACAGACGGGAAACCATCGAAGATCTCCTCAAGGATGCGCGCAAAACCCGATCCATACATTCCCTGGTCAGCGTAGACTCTGAAGATAGTAAGCCGCAGAGCAGAAAGAGATCAAGCTTAAGGAGAAACTCTTCGAAATCTTAATATATCCCTAAGACTCCATCGCAAGTCGCAAGTCGTAAGTCTCTACTTGAATTCGTTATCGAATTCAAGCAGACGAAATACGACTTCCGACTTCCGACTTCCGAATTGTCTATTCTTGAAAGACTCAAATTGTTCGCATACTTCAGCCTTATATTCCGAGTGTTCCTCCACTTCAAATATTTTAATATCCAAAGTTTTCCTGCATGTGAAATATATATAGTCCTCATCCTAATCCGAAACTCCACAATTAAGTTGTAATAATTTCGTTATTTCTTAACTTGAGATTTACACTCGTGAGAAGGGTATATTGGCTTTGTGGCACATACCTATTTCAGTCAGGGAAATCTCCTAAACAATATATCGTATATACATCTAGGCCCTAGGCAGATATCATCTATACACGATATCGTATATAATAAATATATTGTATATCGTATGCCGTATATAGTATGTACTATTGTGTAACACGTATCTAATATCGTTTATCATATGTTATATTTCGAATATCGTATATCGTTTACCATAAGCCGTTGTTGTGTATCCTTTTTCATGCTGTATGCATGTATCGTATACATTGTACCGCTCATATATCGTATATAATATATATCGTACGATAATTTATGGGACATGATATCATATCGCATCATTTTCATTATTCACGGCATTTTGTTGTTGTCGCTTAGCTCAAATCGTACTAATTTTTCGTATATCGTATATTGTATATCGTACATTGTATTGTATATATATACCATGCAACATTTATCAAATACCGTACATTATTTTTATCTTATAACAAATATAGTTTTGGTCGCGCATTGTATATCGTATATAGTATATCGTATATCGTATATCGTAATAAAAGATAGTGTCAATGTTTGGAACTCTTTGAGTTGCATGTTTAGCCAACCGCATCGCTCGCATTCGAATCGTTGACGACAGGCATAAATTGGCATAGAAAATCCAGGTAAAGCTGCCAGCGCAGCTGCCCCCCTAAATCATGTTGCTTGTGGAGCCACAGCGCAAGGCGTTCATCCATCGAGTTCCATTCCGAATCACATTTATTTTTAGTCATCAGTCGCCAGCGCGGCCCGAGCGTTCGCCTCTTAAAACATATTTCTGTGATTTGCTTTATGACGTGTGGTAATTTGTTGGCTCGTTAAGTTGCTTTAATAGATCCGCAGCAAGCCGCTTCGCCGCACCACCGCACCACTGCTCCACCGCTACTGGAAATCAAATCCACAATCCGTTTGCGTTGCATTTCTTTTCTTCTGAAGCTCAACTCTAACTTCCTGACTGCACTGCTCAATGAAATGAGTAAAAAGCGAGGAAGCAGCTCAATGCTCGACTTGAATATACCCTGGAAAAGTATTGCTAATCAAATGAAAGTAATTGTATGTGCAGTATATCTCGGAATATACATTTAGTCAGCTACAGTAGTCTCTGGGATATGCTTTGACAATCAATCAATCAATCAATCGATCAGTCATTCAATCAGTTCACAAAAGCAAGTTTCTTCTCAAGCTCAACCCTTGTCTAGATGTATTCAATGCCCATCGTTTTATTCGTTAAGTTAATATACCCCATTTCAAACAGTCTATGTTTGTAGGGTATTTCCTTTATGACCCACCAAAGAGAAATGTTTTTTTATTGCATCAGAAACACTCAATAAAAGCGAATTATTAGTGTTGAGTTCTTATTGTTGTGCTCTCTCTCTCTCTCTCTCTCTCTCCCTCCCTCTCCCCGTCTCTGTCTTATATTTAGCTGCATTTTTTATTTGTATTCAGAAAGCTCTCCAAACTGTGTAATTTTCGTGTAGTCCATTTACTTTTATTAGTTTATTGCAAATGCATTTGTAATACAAATTCAAAAAGCCAAAAGCATTTCAGACGACTCTATTCGGCACATATGTTTGCTGCTGCTCTGTTTTATAGGGTATTATGGAATTGTCAACTAATTTGTAACTCGGCAGATAAGAGGTATGGACAGGCTAAAACGTGTATAAGAAGTTGCTGTATATGAATATATATAAATTGATATCGCCTGGTTGGAATTTCTTTATAATAAATATATTTTATAGATGAAAGTTTTTTCGCTCGATCTGATTACACTTTGTTGGATATATATTATATATTTTTTCATTGCATATATATCTCACTGATTTATTAATATGTATTATATAATTATATTTATATATATTTATAAATGTATATCTATCTTTCTGGCAGTGTATTAACTCTGCTTCAGCGCGATGCAATTTTCCAGCAAAATTTTTTTAGTTTTACATTTTTATTGTAATTTGTTTACTTTAGTTTTTGTTGCCGTAATTTTATGATTTGTTGGTTGTAAAAAGATATATACTTGTACAATTTTTATATTTTTTTAAAATATTTTTTATATGTTTTACAATTTTTTTTGGAGCTTTTCCATTTTTGTGAAATTTTGCCTTTGCGCTTTGATTAATTGGCACTTACCTGAAATGCCATTTGTTGTTGGTTACGAAGATTCACGTGTAGATATAAATATATATATATATGTAGCTCTCTCTATGAATATTTGCAGTAACCTATTTATCTATATCTATATGTATTTTCATTCATGAATAAAAAATTAGTCAAATAAAAATATAGTCAAAAACATTTTTTGCAAAAAAAGTTTAATCATTTAATATATTTTATTATGTTATTAATATATATTAAAAAGTAAACTTCCAATATTTAATATTTTTAGAAAATCAAACAATTTCCTAAACTAAACTCAAAATATTTTATATTATATTATTTTATATTAAAATATATTTACTTTTTATAATATTAATTAATCCTTATGTATAAAATAATCAGTAATATTTTTTTATATTCAAGATTTCTCAGCAAATATTATTTATTATAATAATTATTATTTTTCAAAATCAATAGTACCTGCAATAAGGTCCTTATACAATCTGTCAAAGTTCTATTTGGGCACAAACTCGTGTCCGCAATTCTTCTGTCTTCATTCGCGCTTTGGCCCATTCATCAAGTCGGGCAAACCGAGTCGAGGGAGTGCATCAATGCGAATGTCAGCCAAGAGCTGTGGAACGGACTATGTCGTCTGTCAGTGTCTGACATCATAATAGTGTCATTGTCATCAAGAGAGTAAGAGACAGAGACAGCAACAGAAGCAGAGAGCGAGAGAGAGATGGAGGACAAGGCATTTGCAGTCATAAATCAAAAAGCTAAACAAAAACAATTAGAAATAAGCGGCAAAAACTAAACGCATGACCAAAAAAGAGGATGCCACTGGCACTGTGCTCCATATGCTTCATGTGGCATAAATAAGCAATGCAACAAGGACAGCACAGACCAACGAGGGAGAGAGAGAGGAGACAACAGGACAACGACAACGACAACGACAACGACAACATTTCATCAACGCAAACGAGCGAAACGTTTATCAACTGCTCAAATGGCCATTAAATGTGTTGTGCGTGTGTGTGTGTGTGTGTGCGATGGCATCAACACCCTGTAGGCAGCCAGCTGTGGTTGCTGGCCAATGCATGAGCACGGCTATCTGCCAGAACATTCATCAAACGATAAATTGAGTGAATGACTTCATGAGCGCTGCAGAGGTCGCACTTCCGTGCACCACTTGCACCACGTCCAGGGCAATTGGCCAGTGTCGTTTGGAGGCGTTTGACACGCCCAGCAGGCAAAACTGTTTATCCAGCACCAGCAGCAGCTCATGTGAGTGACTGTCTGACTTAAATTGCCAGCACATCCTGCTGCCGCCGCTCGCTCCTCTTGCAATTGTTTCTCTGATTGGTATTCAGACCCATCTACAGCACGTTACACATACGCCGCGTTGCACAACTCAGTTATCGCAGGACACACACAGCAGCAGCAGCAGCAGCAGCAGCAGCTCCATCAGTCAGCTCCACTTTGTCTCCTTTTTCGGTTGATTTGCGCCTGCAGTTGGCGCTGAATTTTCACTTCGCCTTAGGCACATTCATCATTTGGTCCTTGACGTGACGTTAGTGTTTTAAAGGACTTCACTTGTCCGCTTTGATCACTCGCCAGCAGCGCTCAGCCAGGCTCTGCACTTTTGTTTGTCTACGTGTTGGCAGTTGCCACAGTCCGTCTCTTCATCTCTTCCACAGAAGTTGCTTTTTTCCATTCATGGACATCCACACTTGCATTTACATTGAGTCATTTGCATGTCCATTTGCCCAGCTAACGATTTATCTGTTCAGAGTTTGCTTAGCTCAATTTAGTTGAAATTCTTCTACTGCCAATGCATCAAAGTTCCTTGATGCTGTAATTTGAATTGAAATTTTGATTTAAATTCAAACTTAATTCTGTTTTTAATTTTAATATAAAGCAACTTAATGTCTTAAATAATTATGTAATATTTTACTTTACGATTGTCGATGCAAGTCGGTTGTTCATAGAAATAGTAGTGAAATAGAATTGCAAAAAATAAATGACAATAGTAAATTATAAGTGCTTTAAAAACATTTAAATTAATAACAGAATATGTTAATCTTAATATTCTATTTAAATTATTCCAACATTTAGTGCTCAGTCGCACTACTATTTTTATGAACACAGCTGTTTACTTATCGCTCATACTGATGCAACGCAATGCCAAAACGAATCTGAATTCATAATAAAATTTAGATTACGTCTTTAATACTCTTACAGATTCATCGCAATGCCAAGATTTTCATTCATAAAATTATATAGGCAACGAGTAAGCGAACCCGCTCTTAACGACCCATTGCAATGCCAAAAGGCATAGCGATTCATGATAATGCGGATATGTTGTTATATTGCTGCATATCTCATTATTTTTGTCATGTACTTGTCAACTGGCTAATGAGCTTACAATGAGATCTTCATTTGAATGGCTGGAAGAGGGAAACGGGAAGCGGAAAGCACATTAGACGAGGACTTCCTGACGTTAAGCGCTCGACGAGTTGCTGGCTGAATCGAAACGTGGCGCTAATATAAACTAATTGGCATACTTAGCCATGGTAAGCAGTCGCCGCTGTGCACACTGC